CCCCTCCCCTAAGGTATAAAGGACAGGCAAAGGTGAAGAAACCTTTGCAGGAAGCAAAGTCATTCACTCTGTTCGGATTAATCCTTGAAGCTGTGTGTGGACTTTGTAGTTTGGTTGGCTTTTTACAGTTCATTTGGCACTTTAGTTGTTGACAGCCATTCAAAGGAGATAAAGGTGGGTGCTTATCTTAAGGAATTGTTTGGGACTCATTACAGGCTGGGAATGAAAATAATTCCCAGCGTTGAAATAAAACAAGAGTTGTTTTAACTAAGCATGTGCTTAATTATGGACTCAGGAAGCCGTGGTCAGAACATCATCTCCTCACACACAGCAAAGGTTTTCCGTCCATCAGGTGGTCTCCACATGTGTGGGGACTACCCTACCCATCAATCTCAGCCAGCCTGACCACTCTGGAAGGGGTCGAGCCAGGAAAAGGTGGGTTAAATCGATGCTCTTCTAAACACGGCAACCTCAAGAGGGGTGGACTTCAACTCCCGGAATTCCCCAGCCAGGAATTCTGGCAGCTTGAAGCCTGCCAATCTTAACGTTTATAAGTGAATGCTGGGAGCCGAAATCCACCCATCTTGGAAGTTCACCAGCATTCTGGCTGGGGAATTCTGGGAGTTGGAAGTCCAGAAAAAATGGCCGAGTTGGGATAAACAGAAAGCTGTTGCTGACTTGGGACGGGAAAGAGAAAAGGGCTGTGACGGCAAACCTAGGGCATGCGTGGCAGAGGTGGCACATACAGCCAGGGGCGGGATTCAAATTTTTTAACAACCAGTTCTGCAGGTGTGGCTATGTGGGTGTGGCTATGTGGGTGTGGCCATGTGACTGGGTGGGTGTGGGTGCTTCTCTCTTTTTGAAGCAACACCCTCCTCGTTTTTTCTGCCTCTTGGGCCTCAGGGACGCTTGCCGGGGACGGGCTGTTTGCTCCGAGAAGGCTTCCCTGGGGCCTAGGAAGGCTAAAAATGGAGTGGGGGGGACACAGCAGGAAGGGGCCGTCTCCCCTCTCTGCCTCCTGGGCCTCAGGGAATCCTCCTGGGTGAAGCAGTAAGACAGTGAGGGGGATCGTGGCACAGCTGATCGTCAAGAAGCGGGGGAGAAATACCCTAAGGAGTGACTGGACGGGGGAGAATGCAGTCAGAACTGACTGGCCAGGGAGGGGAGGGGTGGGCAGAGGGGAGGGGCCAGCCAAGGGCAGGATTTTCCGGTTCTCCAAACTCTGCAGAATCGTAACAACCGGTTCTATAGAACCGGTCCGAACCGTTAGGATCCCACCCCTGCACAGGTCCGTCTCTGTGGGCACACACACACACACACTATTGCCAGCTGCTCTTCTGGTTTCCAGCACACTGGAAAGATTAGATTAGATTAATTTTTTGTCATTGTACTCAGAAACCTGAGAACAACGAAATAAGGTGCTCTTCCACAACATACAACTGAACAACACCAAAAGACATATACAAATAACAATGTAAAACAAATTAAAACAAATAACAGTTAAAAACTGTACAACCAGGAGATATATATATATGTTAAGACCACCAGATTCCGGACCACCAGAAACCCGAAGACCAGGTGAGCATGCGTGCTCCGTAAAACCCAAAGACCAGCTGGCTGCCATGTGCATGCACACTGACCAGCGGGTCTTTGGGTTTCCGGTGGGTCCAGCGTGCGCGAAGATCACGCATGCGCATGCCAGCCAACGGGTCTTTGGGTTGACAGTGCTCCGGGACGTGAGCGCGTTTTGGTTTGGGTGCTTGGTGCCGAAAAGGTTCACCATCACTGGCCTAAACAATCTCTCTCTCTCTCGGGCACAGATCTGCCTCTTACCTTCCACTGATATATCCTGGATGGCAAACCGAAGAATGATAGTCCAGATCATACCCAAGGTCATCTTGGCGTTGCCATCGACAATTTCTGGAAAAGAGACCATAGGAGGAGAATGAGCAAGGACTTTCTGCAAGGGCATCTTCACAAGTTTGTAGAAAACGAAGATACTCCAGGTGGGAGTGTCTGTGGAGATTCTCAAGACATCCATGGTTGTCCCAAAGGTGCTTTTAACAAAGGCAACTGGGCTTTATTATTATTATTTTTCCTTGAAGACGTTTTGCTTCCCATCTAAGAAGCTTCATCAGTTCAGCTCAGAACTGAAGAAGCTTCTTGGATGAGAAGCGAAACGCCTTCAAGGACAATAATAATAATAATAAAGTCCAGTTGCCTTGGGAAAAAGTTTGGGACGATCCGGATGGAAATGTGCAGGAACCTGCTCCAGAGGGAAAAGAGGGTCACACCAAGGTCACCTTCCTTACTCTTTTACGACACCTTCCTCCTGGAGTGTGCGCACACTCTGGCTGCACGCAGGCGGAAGTAGGACATGTCCCAGAACAAAGGAACTGATTGTTACTATCAGTTGGCCACTCCGGGGACAATTGTGCCATGCAGGTACAACGCTTCCTCGGTCACCTGGGAAATGATCCTGCGTCAAGGCTGAGCGCTCACAGTTATACCTGCGCAGATTGACTATTCCATAAAAATCGGGCCAACGGGTTTTTTCAGCGCAGGTGGCACGAAGCCAGAACCGATTCCCTTAAGCACATCTTCATTCACACTCTCAACCAAATGAAAATGCCATTAAAAAAAAAAAAAAAATTGCATTCCTTTGTATGCATTATTAACTCAGGGGTGTCAAACTCAAGGATCCGGGGTAGTTTAATCTGGCCCGTGGGACCGGCCTGGAAATAGCAAAGGACCGGCCCGCGGTGCCTCCGGTAACCAAAATGGGATATGGCATATGCCATATGGATATGGCGGGACCACACATGCCCCCCCACGCGCCCCATTTTTTGGCCTGGATGGCCTCCTGCAGCACTCTGCTGACCAAAACGGGGCACAAAGAGGCCGCATGAGGGGCCCCCCCGCGCCCTATCCAGGCCAAAAAATGGGGCGCAGGGGGAAGGGGGCTTGTGCAGCCATGCTGTGCCCCGTTTTGGGGGGCAGGATGCTGCAGGAAGCATTCGTCCTCTCTCCCTCACAGAAGAGAACTGCAATGCTTATCCAGCCCTCGAAGAAATCCAGGTTGACACCCCTGTATTAACTGGAGCAAGAGTTTTGCAACAGGGGTCTCCAACCTCTGGGCCACGGCCCACTAGTGGACAAGTGAGGGGGATTGCAAGCGGGTCGCAGAAATGGCCGGCGAGCGCACGGATGCGCATCCTCACTCGGGCGAGCGTGTGCGCGCTGCATTTGTGGGAGCGGCAGGCACGCGTCCGCACGGCAAATGGAGCTGCACGCGAGTGCGGACACATCCTCTTCCCCTCCCACGTACCCGCTGGTCCGCAAAGCTGGAAACTTTGGGCAACTCTTATTTACAGTATCAATAAAAGGTAAGTAAGAATTCACGAGGTATGCCCGTCGTTTTGACAGGCTGTTGAGTTTCCAAAACATCTTTAAGGTTAGACATCACATTATTGCCAACTTCTTCTTTGGGTTTATGGCTTATAAGTTGAGCCACGGAGGTGATAGTTGTTAATGACTGTATAATAACCCAATTTCAATACGGACTTAAAACTTTACCTGCATAGGGGAGAGGGAGGGAGAGAGGGAGAGAGAGGGAGGGACAGGGAGAGAGAGGAAGAGGGAGAGAGAGAGGGAGGGAGGGAGAGAGAGGAAGAGAGGAGGAAATAGGAGGAGGAGAGAGGGAGAGAGAGGGGGGAATGACGGACAGGGAGAGAGAGGGAGGGAGCGAGAGAGAGGGGGGAGAGA